CTATATATCTATATATCTATATATCTATATATCTATATATTATATATAGAATATCTCTCTCTCTCTCTCTCTCTCTCTCTCTCTCTCTCTTTCTCAGTGTATAGTATTCTCAGATGTTACAGAGAACTTGTCTATGTTTAAAAGCATTGGATATTCTTCATTCTCTTGCTTATTGTTTGGTGTCTGCCTGCTCCCTCTCAATGCTCTTTCTGAGGTTTATGGCTGTTTTACAAGCTAAGAAAAAAAGCAAGAAGCTGTTGCTTCACCGTTGCTGTGTGTGTTTAGTGAAATTGGATGTGTTACAGATTTTTTAGGAAGAAAATCTTGTTGATTCAAGTAGGAAATTAGGAAACTAAGATGCTGTTGGTGTTCATTTCTTCTAAGGGCTTGGATATTAATCATTTGTTACAACCTTTGTATGACGCCATGAGAAGTGCTGAAAATACTATCATTATTAGGATTAGCCATGTCTATTTTTAATATGGCTATTTGTGTATTTGTTTGAGCAGAATTTATGTTCATATAACATAAAGGCATTAACTAGAAAATAAGATAGGAATGTGTAAGTGTGTATTACCAAATGCTTTTTTCAGAATGTGGAACTTCCTGATACATTTACACAAGAACTCCGGTCCCTTTTAGAAGGTTTACTTCACAGAGATGTTGACAAGAGACTGGGCTGTAAAGGAAGAGGGTAAGGCACTTAAGAGAGTCATTGTTCATATAATAGTCTCTACTTTATATTTAATCTATATGTACTGTCCTGCACTTTAGCTAATGCTTCAGTTACATAACTAAAAGATTGCTTGTAAGTGAGAGCCATTATTAAAAAATGTTTTAGGGTGGGAATAATCTCATTTATATTTCTTCGCATTTAGAAACATTAATATACTGCCACTAAATAAAAAAATGTCAGAATTAGGGGTCAGGTGAATTTTAATTTCCTTACTGAATGAGTATTCAGTAATTTTTGTAGCTTTTTTCTTAGAGAACCTTTGTTATACAATTAAAATTATTGTTCCATATGATACAAGTTACTGATAAAGACGTTAATCTCAAGGGCTGATGAGGTTAAAGAACACCCTTTCTTCGGAGGCTTGGATTGGCAGCAGGTCTACCTCCAGAAGTACCAGCCTCCTCTCATCCCTCCAAGGGGAGAAGTCAATGCTGCCGATGCCTTTGATATTGGGTCTTTTGACGAGGAGGACACCAAAGGCATTAAGGTATGGGAGAAAGAGAGGAGCTTCTGTATTATGGTTTCTTGGCATTTTCTGAAATACTATGCTGTCTTCCGAATTACAAAAAAAAAAAAAAAAAAATTAAGGGGACTTTGATATGACTGTTTTGATGATATAAGTAGGTGTATTTAGTGTGTATCATGTATATACTGGTACATATTTCACATTTGAATAATACATTTTGCTGATATGAGATTGGCTTTCTGGCATTCTTTTTTGGGGGGGTTGCTGTGTGATTGTATATACATCTTAGACCAGCCATGTAAATTACACTGTGATTAATTCTTTCCTAATTTGCAGTTAATGGAAGCAGACCAGGATCTTTATAAAAACTTTCCATTGGTAATAAGTGAAAGGTGGCAAACTGAAGTGGCAGAAACAGTATTTGAGACAATCAACCAGGAGGCAGATAAGGTAGAACATAAACGTCGAGCAAAACACAAATTTAAGTTTGACACGGATGAGAAAGGTAAGCCAGTTTGAACACTTGATTGATTATGTAGGATTGTGCATATGTGAATTTTGTAGTGTTAATGATTAAGATAAGTCAGTAGCAGGTTTGAATATTCTCTTTGATATTTTTGTGAATCAAAAGTATAATGGTTGATTAAAGTGATGAAGTCAGATTAAGTGATAGTATTTTATGCATCATCTTTTTTTTTCTTTTTTTTCTCAGTACCTTTTATTGAATTATTGTTTATATTGAAACCCTAATGATAGTCTTGTCTATTTATTTATTTATTTTTTTTACTCCCTTCAGAATCAGATTGTATAATCCATGGCTACATCAAGAAGCTAGGTGGGCCTTTCACCTCTGCCTGGCAGACCCGTTACGCCAAGCTTTATCCAAACCGTGTGGAACTGCATTCGGAATCCAGCTCAGGCAAACCTGAACTGATCTTCATGGACCAGATTGATGAAGTGTCGTCAGATTTTGTACAGATAAAGGGGGAGAACTGTATTGTCCTCAAGACGAAAGACAGCAAGATTGTCCTGACAAATCCTGTAGGTATTCCTAGTTTCCCAAGTAGGATTTTGCATGTCTGGAAGAATGGCTTATGTGATAAGTTATAAAAAGAGTGAATAGCACATTGATAGCGATAAATATTACTTGCAGAATTAGGGGAAATTTAGTAGAAACACTTTTGTAGGAGTAAGAGAAAAGTTTTAGGTAACATAGCTTTTGCTTAGTGTAGAAAGTTCCTAAACTCAGTCCATATTATAGTGTATGGTGCATGTGTCCAATCTAAGTCATTCTGTGGAAGAGGTAGGAATGAGAATGAATTCTTCAAAGTGCAAGAGGTGTATTTGACAATTTTGATTATACTTTTGTCAGATATATTTGATATGATCAAAATCAATGAAATATATCACTTACAGTATAATGATATTCATTTCCACTTATGCCTTTTCTATATTTGTTGCAGTAAACACAGTTCATCATTCTGTAGAGTGTCTACTATTTAAGTAATTTGGCATAATAAATTGGAGTATGGATTTTTTTTATTTAGAATGTATTTATCATCAGTCTTTAATTTGTTTATTTGATTATTTAGGAATGGTAGAGCTATGTCCATTCTCTTCAGCTAGCATAAAAACTTTGATAGATATAATGTTTTGATTAAAGAAGTCTTTTTTTCAGCTGTAAATTCTTTGATTAAGTGAGGTTTCTACTTTCATTTTTATCTAGTAGTTTCTGTACATTATTAATGGAAGATGCAAATATCTTTTAACTCAGTAACTTACACTCACGAAACAATAGCATAATGAACATTAAAGACTCTGAACTATTTGAAACCTTGTAGCTACCAGTACCATGTTTAGAAAGAAACCAAATGGGCTTTTTAACTATGTCATGTATTGAAAAACATAGCATGAATGTCTACTTTTTTGATCTGTAAAACTGATAAGTCTTCTTCAGATTTTTTCTTAAACAAAGATAACTGACCACTAACTCCCATTCTGCAATTATTCCAGGATGAAATTGGCCTTAAGGAATGGTCGATATCTTTGAGATCTGCACACAAAATGTCTCTGGAGCTTCTAAGCAATATGGCAAAGAAGGCTGGCAGAATCTATGGGACAGAAGGGAACAACAAGCCCTCTTTCATGGCTCGCAATGGCAATGGCAACTGAGCGCCGAGGATAGGGCCCAAGTGGACAAGTGTGCTGTGTGTTATTATTTTGACCAACCATGATTCTCAAAAGAACCAGAAAACTGTCAAGACACTGGCAAACATCTTCCTCATTATTCATGTACAGAGTTGAAATAACTTCCATGAGTGAAGATCTGTTTGGTAACCAGGGTTATTTCTTGCACAAAATTTAATGTCATCTGGTCCTTACTTCAGCACAGAAATATTCAATTAATGAGTCCTACAAATAAAACACAGGTGATCTTGAAAGTAAACTGTGATTAGATTAAGAATGATCTATTCAGAGTGAAGGACAATTCATAGGTTATTTTTGTCCCTAGGCTTCATGATTCTAATGTCCTGTAGAGAGCTTCTCGGTTCATGTATGAGAAAACAGTCATTCCATCTGGTTTCATAGAACCCTTTGAAGTTTGTGATATAGATTCTCAAGAAATACTTTTTTAACAGTGAGTCTTTTATGAAGATGTAACTTATGGTGCATTGGTGAAAACAAAGAGTTCAGTCAGAAAAGGAATAAAAGGAATTTACCTATTTTCTTGGATTGACTGTACATTTAGCTTGATAATGTAATGTTGCTACCCTCTGCAGTTGTGTACATTTATGTGTCTAAAGGAAAGGGTTCAAGATTTAAAATCATACCATGCCTATCTCATGTTTCATAGGCTGTAGTAAGACTGGGATACATGTAGGTGGAAAGATAACCATGTAACAGTTCTCCTGTTGCTTGTTGTACTCCAAAGGATACTTTGATCCTCATTGTTCATTTGATGTAAAGAAATGAGGTGGAGTTAATCTTTGGACTTTTTAAGTGTTCACAGCTCTATTTTTGTGCCAGATGATAGGAATGAATCTTTAGGATTAACTGTTACACTGACACTGTGATGTCTTACTAAGTGAGTGTGAGATGAGATGTGGGATTAACTTAATGTGTTGCCAGTGACAACATGAGCAGTAAACCCCTATGGTGGACCTGTTGCCAGCTTCTCTTGTTGACACTTTGTCAACTTTGGTGTTGGTAAAAAAAAATTTCCATGTTTGTGGTGTTTGTGTTTCCTTCATTTGTGTGCACGTCATTGTGCTGCTGTGAGAGTGATTTATGTACATGCATCATCTCAGTAACACATAAGATTCTTTTAAGATTTTACTTGAACAGTTACAGTAAAGTGGTACTGCAAGGTGCATCCGAACATGTACGCACAACCTTCCTCAAGCAGTGTTGGTGGACCTTGTGCACCAAACTCTATGCTTGTGATGATTATTTAGTACAGTTTTCCTGTGCTATTTAGCAAATACATTTTGATCCTTGTGATAATTGTGCATTTTCCTGTCATGGTGTCAACTGTGAAGCTGTGCAGTACTGTTCAAGTGAAGTACAATATCCATGGCGGGAATGACTATTGTGTATATTGTCAAGTTTTGTCAGGAAACTGGTCACAAAGGCTTCCTCCCTATCATACTTGGAAGGAAATCAGGAACGGGAAAACCTCACATTTTTTGACTATTATATATCCTATCTGGCATGTGAAGTGTCTTATATGCACCTTAATACTATATAATTTTCATTGTAATTATGAAAGCGTTATTAAATAAATGATGATTTTATTAA